ACTAACCAGTTGGGAACCACTGGTCTAAACGATTACAGCTGTAACCTGCAGACAGGAGAGCAAACAAGACCAAAGAGCTCCCTCTGCTGCTCTATAATATTAATACCAGTGTTAACAACTCAGAGCTTTTCTTTTGAGCATACATACAATGAAATAATGACCGTAAATAACAGACAGTAAAAAATAACAGCCAGCTGTAACAGACACAAATAAAACAGTAACTGTACATCTGAGTTTAAACACCACATTACAATTTTTTTTTTTTTTTTTCAAGACACTGGTACTTGACTATTGTGCTGTGAATGTGCTCACCCAAACTTTCTCGTTTTCCTATTATTTCTAAATGCACTTGAAGCAGTTCAGCTTATTTGATGGAAATGGATGGTAAGTGGTAAATGGACCTGCATTTGTGTAGCGTCTTTCTAGTCATCTAATGACCACTCGAAGCGCTTTATACACTACAAGTCACATTCACCCATTCACACACTGGTGGCCGAGGCTACCATACAAGGTGCCACCTGCTACTCGGTTTTAACACACTCACACACCGATGGAACAGCCATCGGGAGCAATTCAGTATCTTGCTCAAGGATACTTAGACATGCAGCCTGGAGGAGCCCAGGATCGAACCGCTGATCTGTCGATTGGTGGATGACCCACTCTACCTCTGAGCCACAGCCGCCTCAGAAATTAGGTACTTGCTTGATTCTTGCCCTTTCTGGGTTATATTCACATGGTTGAATGCACTTATTGTAAATCATGTTGGATAATAGTGTCAGATAAATTAATCAAATGTCACCTGCTGGTATATCCTGATATGCAGTTCTACTCCCTGCCAGCCAATGGGAAAGTAGTATTTTCTGTTTCTCTGTGGTATTAAATTGAACAGTCTTGTCTCATTGAATTTATCGTTGCAGCTGTTTCCAGTGATGCATGTACAGAGTGTGGAGCTGACTCAGATCCATCACTATGATCTGAGCAGGAATCTGGTTGTCTTGGCTTAAAATTATTAAGAGTATTGATGGAACTGTTGGACTCTTGTCCTTGTCCTGGTCTTTGTCTTACTCTTTGTCTCCATTTCCGAAGCCGAAAGCGTCTGTACAAAAAGTGACCCAAAACCAGGCCTGCTGCTGCTGGTATCAGTCCCAGGAAACAATATAGGATGATCCATTCCCAACCCTGTGATTGTGCACTTGTTGGGTTTGGTCTCACAGGTTTGGACGAAGCCTTTGCTGCTGTAAAGAGACCAAACAAATCTGTGTCATTCCTATGAAGAAATAACATTTCACTAAAAACGACCATCTTGTGATAGGATCACACCAGCTGCAACACTGCGATTTGCAACTTAAAACAGGTGGCATGAAGTGGGGGGCCAGTGGTCCCTTCTCTACTTCCTACCCCCCTATTTCTGTCTCCCTTGCTCAGACCACACCTCTCTATGAATTTGGTCTACACTACACACCTGTAAAGTATTGTGACTGCATCTTGCACAGTTGTGATGCTATCACGTTGACAAAATCTGTCCATATCTTCAGTAGCTAGCTAGCTAACCCTACACTTTTCAGGGTTTGATTCTGGTTTTGGAACAGAGAGGAAACGTATATCTTTTTCCAACTTCTCCAGGTAACGAGCAGCAGTAACACACGACGTGCCCCAGGCACAACATTTAGCTCCAAATCCACAAAACCAGCCTGACAATGAAGGAAATCTGAAATGACTGCATTAGAGTCAATGGAGCACAGCTGTGTTGTTGTTGGACCCTGGTCTGAGCCGGCCTGATGCTACTTCTCTTACTGAATGAAGGGTCAATGGGTGTTATCAAGACTGGATGTCAATATTTATCAAGACCAGATACTACAAGAAGGAAGTATACAGATTGTGGATTGCAGAGGTCCACAATATTTTTCTCCTCAGGTTCTTTTTTATCCAGAAAAGCTGCAGAATTGAATCTGCTAAGACAGATCTACTGAGTTTACTTACCAGTGACAGTGAGCCGACATGTAGCAGTGCTGCAGCCATAATATGTGAACACATCACACATATACAGACCTGAGTCATCAGTCCTGAGTCTGGACACATGAAGTCTGAGTCGTCCCTCTCTGAGGACGTCTTTGTCACACTGGACTCGTCCTGTAAACTGTACATCCTGAGACTCTGGGACCTCAACACCTTCATGTAGATGAAACAGGACTGAGGCTCTGAGATCAGTTAACAGTTCACAGTAGATCAAAAGGGGCTTGAGGGAGCTGCCAGGTTTGGTGGTGAACATCCACTCCAGTGTGATGTTGTGGTTCTCCTCTGCCTGATAGGAGGTCTGTGTCACATTGACTACAAATGTTCCTGTTGAGGAGACAGAGAGGGAAAGTGAGGAGCAGACAAAGTGACAACTTTAACATGTGAGCCTTTAAACTCCATCTAAAGATGTTTGTGTGGAGAGTTTGACTGATTCACTGAATAACAGTGTGCTCTTATTTAGAACAAAGCTGGAAGGTCGGGAAACATGAGAGCTCAGAGTTGCTGCAGCTAAGAGGTGATGCATGAAACCAATAATTAACTAGAAAGGCACTCGGACAGACTTCCTCCGAGACCAATAGTCCAGTCTTCTATGATATGAAAAGCCTCAAGTACAACCACTATACATGTCTGGATATATTTCCCACACCATTAGAATGATGTCAATGATGTATTGTATGTATGGACTATAACATTTTTAACCACTAGATGGTGGTCTGTGTATGGTCTATGTATAGTAACACTGGTCACAGGTGATATGAAGCAGGTGTTATAAGGTCACGGGGGAGGACGAAGTCTTTCTGAACACAGCCCACCCGACTAACAACATCATTAAGTTTGCGGATGACACAGTTGTAGTTGGACTCATAACAGGGGGAGACGAGTCCAATTACAGAGACGAGATCCAAAGACTGTCGAGGTGGTGCGGCACAAATAACCTGGAACTAAACACAACCAAAACAAAAGAACTCATCCTGGACTTTAGGAGAAAACACAAGGCAGACCCATCACCACTGTGGATTAATGGAGCATGTGTGGAGCAGGTTCACTCTTTCAAGTACCTGGGGCTCCACATATCCAACAACA